GGCAGCGATGTCCCCACTAGTTTAAAACAAGATCTAAAAGATAAGCGGAAAATGTTAGTGAGGCGGTTCGCGTGGTACTGGCGCCAAAGATAGGAAGGTAGTGGTTCCGACGCCTGTTGCAGCAATAGGCGGTGCATCTGATGTCGCAAACGCAACTTGGATGCGTGGAGGGAGACACGAGCACCTTCATCGCCAGCGATGCTGATCTTATAAATGCCATTGGACTTGTGGAGGGAGAGTGGGATCTAGTGCCTTGGGCAGTATATCAGGGTTTGGGATTTTATTTTTATTTTTTTTAATAAAAATATTGATTAAAATAAAATTTTTGATTTTTGAATTGTGAAACTTTCAATCTGATTTTAGAATGTTGAATTTTTAAGATAGGTTATTGTGTAATTTCCACTTTTTTATTTCTTTACAATAGGCTTTCATTCCTGTCCGCCACATCTGCCCATGTGAATCACAATATAATTTAGATTTTATTTAATCACCCAATAACCAATATTTTTCACAACTAAGATAAAAAAAATAATTACAATCCATGTGCACATCTATATTTTAAGGGATTTTGCAGTTTGACATTTTTTCCTCATCTGTTACCATAATATGTGTTTAGTAATTACAAGATAATCACTCAACAAATATCCTTTGCTACCACGGTATACATTAAGGACTCACTAGATAATTTAGATTTTATTTTTTTCACTTAACAAATACAATTTAGAAACCAATAGAAATCAATATTTTCAAGAAAAGAGAATAATCTCAATTCATGTGCACATCTATATTGTTAAGTGATAACTCGAGTTGACATTTTTTTATTTTTTTTTGGTTACATCCTTTGCTAAATAATTCGAATCCATGTGCACGTCTGTATTTTAATGAGTTAATGTCTCAATGGCCACTAAATTTATGTATGTGTCTTCGATTACTCACTAATATTTAAGACGTCGAGTTTTGTTCACTAAATTTATCCAAACGTTAAATGTTATTCACTTGCATAACATCTATTACAAACCTTTAACGGAATTAATGTCGTGGCTAAAAGAATGCACACGTGTTACTCCGTCACACGGTTAACAAATTACCACATAAATTTTGGAAAACGTCTTCAATTGCTTATTAAACTTGAAAATTTTGAAAAATATCTTCAATTGCTCACTAAATTTTGAAAAACGTCTTCAATTGTTCACTGAACTTTGAGGTAATTTAATTTTGACGACTAAAAATTTAAAGTTTTTTTCCATTGCTGAATAAGCATTGGAAACGTCTTCGATTGCTTACTAAATTTTAAAAAACGTCTTTGATTGCTCATTAAACGTTGGAAACGTATTCGATTGCTCACTAAACTTTAAGAAAAGTATTTGATTACTCACTGAAGTTTGAGGTTATTGAATTTTAATTAAATTTATTGTGTATTTCGTTCCAAAATTCAGATTTCATTTTAATTTAATATTAACAATAAAATATATAATAAATTTTAAATTTTCAAATGATGAAAATAACTTAAAATTCTACCAAAAAATATGTTAAAACGACAACTGTGTAATTGAATAATCATATCTCATGGGATCGATAATTCGGACTTATTTGTCCACATTTTTACTTTTATGCAATTTGTTCGCTTGGGATACATTTTTTAATGAACAACAAGTGGACATCATTTTCATAAGTTTAGTTGGCAAAATTCGACCATCTCAGATTTCAATGAGTAATCAAAGACATTTTATCAAAATTTAGTTAGTAATTGAAGGCGTTTTCAAAATTTAGTGAACAATGAAAAACGTTTTAAATTTTTAGAGGTCAAAATTCGACCACCTTAGCAATTGAAGAACGTTTTCAAAGTTCAGTGAGCAATCGAGTGACGGAGCATCATATATACATTTCGTTAGCCACATCCCCAATTTTGTTAAAGATCTGTAATGGATGCTATACAAGTGAGTAACATCTAACATTTGGATAAGTTTAATGGTCAAAACTGAACATCTTAAACTTCAGTAAGCAATCGAATATATAAATTCAATGACCACTAAGACAATTAACTCTATTTTAATGGATAACTACAGTTGATATTATTTCTTTTCCCACCACTTGCACATCAAGAAAGGAAAAAGCTATTCAAATAGGGCCGACGTGGTCCTATTCGTCTAGCACGGCTCAATCTAGAAATCTTAAGGTATTTATGTTATATTTAATAAATATTATTTTCAACAAAAGAGACAAAAATTAAATCTCAATCTATGTTTATATGTATATTGTAAGTGATAATTGCCGTTAACATTGTTTCCTCCTTTTGCTAAATAATCTCAATCCATGTTCCATCTCGACAGATATAAGAATTACAAGGTAATTTAATTTAATTTTTAAGTCATTCAATAAACATTATCTTTCAAAATGAAATTAAAAATAATTTCAATCAATGTATAGGAAGTCACTTGTCTGCATCTATATTGGAAGGACTAAATGCACTACTGACCCAACTTATTGTGCAAGTAAAAAATATTCACTTGTCCTTGAAGTTGGAAGGCAACATTTATGTTGAAAGACAAGTTATTCTATGGAGGCAAAGTTATAGTGCGCTTTGTCACCCCCTCCGGGGGTCCTGTGCACTCGTCATAAAGGGAAGTCTACATGGAGGATAATCGCATCCCGAATGTCCGACCCAACTGTGTATAAGCTATGATCGCCTCTGAATTTACCTGGGTGGTGAATCAAGGGGAAAGACTGTCACTCTTCAGGATTAGTCAGGCGAAACTTGGACACCTGAGTTATCAACAAAAATAAAATAAAAAAATATTCGCTTGCACCAATTTCGGGAAAGGAACGTATTTATACTTTTTGTCCTTTTAAGCTAAGAATCACTAAGAAAGGAAATACATAGTTCCAAGCAAAGAATTATTAGAAGAAAACATTTATTTATTTTTTTCTCAAAACCATCACATTATTTACCCATTAAACTTTATAAAATTAAGTCGTTGATTCTTAACTTGACTTCAATACCAAATTTTTGAAACGAAAGTCACAAGAGTATTTCACAATGACTTCGAGGGTTTTAGTTATTATATATCAATTATGTAAATAAATATAGTAGAGCAACTTTCTCCATTTTAAAACCGAAGACCAATTTGTTACTAAAACCTTAAACTGGAGACTTATTTACAGATATTGGAGTACTTCAATTTCCATGGGATCAAGCGGTGGCGAATCCAGCAACGAAGTTCAGCTAGGGCGGAGCCGCGAAACTTGACCGTTGACCGTTGACCATCAACAATCATAATAGCCCAATCATTTAAGCAAACTGTACAGTCATTTTAAATTCATTTAATCAAACTGTACCGATATATTATTAATTTTATTTTATTAAAAATATAAGCAGCAAGAAAAAACTTCGATGCCTTTTTTCTGAAACTCTTCTTTTCCTTCCACCAAATTTACAATTGCATTGTCGCCTCACAAAGTTCAATGATACTTCCAATTGCCAAATATCCAACTTCATGATGGAAATATATGAACAAAATATTTCATTATTTATCCAATCCTCTTTTGAGTTTTGACTTTTGAGTATCACAGATTCACAAAAAAATTAACAAAACCAAATTAGTTTCTTTATATGTATCCACCTAATCTCTAAACTTTATTGTAACCTTGGTTTCAAACATCCAAAATCCAGATAATCAAGTCATTTTCACTATTATATACCCTCGAGTAAGCAAGAAATTAAGTAGCAAATCACATTGAAGTGGAGGCTCTATTCACAAAACCCAAATCCCAAAACCTTCAAAAGCACCGCAAAATTCAAAACCTGAAATCAACAAAACAATACATTACATTGATAGCATAGATTAGACTATTTAAAGACCAAAAAAAAAAAAAAAGAGTTAAAATCTTGTCTATTAGTTCATTTAAAAAACAAGTGAGGTACCTTATTGAACTTGTTCTGAACCAGCGAACATATCCACAACGCCAGAAATCTGTCTTTCAAGATTCCACAAAACTATACAGAGAGATGCATGAATCAAATATAACCCACAAAAAAGAATCTTTTCCTCCATGAAAAGGGAAGGAAAGAAAAAAAAAAATGCTTACAATAACAGGAACAAAACTAGAAAAAGAAAAGGGAAACAAGTCTGCAAAAGTGTTGTTTCATTTATTACATTATTATCGTTTACGAACACTGTGGTCCACCATAGCACTGTAAAAACAGTTAAAAGTAACAATAAATAAAAATCAAGTAAAATTAAGCACATACTGGGATTTTCCCGCCAGATCCGCTACGGATTAGCACTTCCCACTTCGCAAGCGCTACGCAGCTGGAATGGAAATCTAGAAATTGAAGGGTTTGCAACGTTTGTTTGCACATTACATCTTTGTTGCCGGTTTCAAATTGAGTTTGGGTTGGAGGAAATATTAAATACCATGGATGGACTCAATTCCCACTATTGGGCTAATGTTTTAAAACAAAAATAGGCCCAATTTAGTTACACTCATCAGATCAGCCCAAAGAAAAAAAAAATTGAAACTCTTCTTCTCCAATGGTCCCTTCCGTCTCTGCAACTTCGTCTTCCCCCCGGCGGTCTCTGCAACGTCCAGTCTTCCACCCGACGGTCTTGGCAGCTACTGAAGACTCCGGCGGATCCAGCTAGGACGGCCGCCCTAGCTCGCCAGTACCTGAATCCGCCCCCCGGGATCAAGGGATGTGTATTCTAATATTTTTCCAATTGATTAATGGTATTTAGCACCACTAATATTAAACATTAGTTTAGGTGACACTAGACATCATTTTAATGAAAGATAGAATTAAATAAAATATGTAATTTCACCATTAATTGAACATATTGCATAATGTCACATAAATTGGTGCTCCAGCCCTATTAATGCTAAGTAATATTATTCTTTTCAATCTTTTAAGCGATCCCTGGCCCCCCAACCCCCACCTCAAATCAATGCATATAATCCCCTAGCCCCTCCAAATTATATATATCAAGGCTTTCTTGTCTTGTCATCTCAAAGAGAGATCAACCAACGGCAAATTTTCTTCTCTTCAGCCAACAATGGGGACACCAATGCACACCTCCTCCTCTTCTTCGGATCCTTCGTTCCAACTGAAAATACCCTCGTATCCTTTCTTTGGTCAAGCCTCTAACACCTCTTTCGAAGTGGACGATCCAGGTAATTTTAGTACTATATTAGAATTACATTTTATAGTTAGCTAAAATTAAAATTAATAGTGGTGGTCCCTAACTTTTCATATGAGTTACATTTTGATTTCAGACCTACCAAAAGGCGCATTTTTATGCCCAACTTTGTTGCCGTATTGTTTTAAAAAATGCTCTGCTTCGTAGATAGGGACTAAAATGTAACTCGTGTAGATGGTTGAGGACTATTATGCGAATTTCCCTTATTCTTTTTTGGATAAAACCCCCTGTCCCGGCTTGGGGACAGGGATAAAAACGGGGCACCACCCTGTCCCCAAGCCGGCACGCTCCTATTATTATTATTATTTGTAAATTATCTTCTAATTCGCACTGCCATAAATCCCACAGACAGACTCTACGACATTTCTCCCTTCGTACGTGTATACAAATGTGGTAGAGTTGAGAGATTTTTTGGAACTGAAAGAGTTTCAGCATCCTTGGATCCAACCACTGGTGTCGAATCGAAAGATATTGAGATTCAGCCTGATTTGACTGTCTCTGTTCGAATTTTCACGCCTCCTAGACACATCAACTATTTCAATCGCAGACGTCCTCTTTTGATCTACATCCATGGTGGTGGGTTTGTCACGGAATCTGCCTTCTCGCCAACATACCAGAGGTTTTTGAACGAACTTGTAGCCGAATCTAAGGTAGTCGCAGTGTCAATTGAGTACAGATTGGCTCCGGAAAACCTACTCCCAATTGCTTATGAAGACTCATGGCTTGCACTCAATTGGGTTGCTTCTCACTTTGAGGGTAATGGGGATGAGATTTGGCTTAACGAGAATGTTGATTTTGAAAGTGTCTATTTGGGTGGAGATAGTGCTGGTGCCAACATTGTGCACAATATGGCTATGCGGGTCGGGTTGGAAAGTGATAAATTCCCCATAAAACTCAGTGGTGCTTTCCTAAACTGTCCACATTTCTTGGGGAAGGATCCAATTGGGAGTGAAGCTGAAGACGATAAAATGAAAAATATATATCAAAGACTTTGGCTTCATATGTATCCGGACAGTGAAGGATTGGATGACCCGTCGGTTAACCCGGCTATGGATCCAAGACTTTCAAGCCTTGGTTGCAAAAGGATGTTGATTTTTGTTGCTGAGTTAGATTCGTTGAGAGATAGAGGATATTTTTATCAGAAATCATTGTCACAGAGTAATTGGATGGGCGATGCAGTTATTGAAGAGAATGAGGGGGAAGGCCACGTTTTCAATTTGATTTGTCCCGAAAACCCCAAGGCTATTGAGATGATGAAAAAAATTGCTGCTTTCCTCCAGACGAACAGAACTCTTTAAATCAAGGTTTATAATTATGTGCCTGACTGCTATGGGCTACCTAAATAATCTTTATTTGAAAAATACTACATGTACATTTCAAGGGCACGTAGCCTAGACTATTATGGCTACATAAATAATTTTTATTTGAACGATGCTATATGTACAGGGACACGTCGGTCCTGTACGTGCAGCACTTTTGTTTTTATCTTTATGTAAAATAGTGTTGGCACTATGTGTTATTAAACTCTTGTTTGATGGTCATTATTGAAAAAATAATAATGATAATGATTTGAATAAAATTCTTTAGAGAATGTGTGATTAATGAGTAAGAAAGAAATTTAGATTTATGTGTAAAATATTTTATTATATAAGTGTGGTTAAATTTGAATATGGGAATTAAAGAGTTTTATTTTAAAGAGAGACAAATACGAGCTAAATGAAACGTGCAATTAAACGATTTTTATAATTTCACATTGAATTGAGCATATTATATAATGTCACATAGATTGATGATTAATAGGGATGAAAAAATATTCGTCAAATCCGATACTCGCCAAGACCCACCCCGAACGGGGCGAGTACGGGTAACGGAGTCCTCGCCCCTCTCCGTCCCATTTACGGGTTTTTTTTTTAATTATTATTTAAGAACTCAATACTTTAAACTCTTGTTTGATTCCTTTTTTTTTTTTTTTTTTTTTTTTAAAAAAAAAAAAAAAAAAAAAAAAAAATTTTTTTTTTTTTTTTTTTTTTTTTTTTTTTTTTAAAACAAATACATTTCTTTATTTTCTTTTAAGCTCTTGTTTGATTCCCATTATTTTTAAAGTACGTTTCTCTCTTATTTTTTTTCAACCACACATTCTTTAACAAAATAATATTACACGTAAATTTAAAAAAATTTCTTATTTTTTAACCACACATTTTTTATCAATATACTATTTTAAAATACGTCATTGGAAAATAATAGGGCTCAAACAGGCCCAAATAGAAAAACTTCACGAAATATTATAGATTCTAATAGAATATGATAATTAAAATTATTTAAGGAATATGATAATCAATAAAAACCTTAGTTTACCAAATATATTCGAATAATTCAATTTTTAAAAATAAATTAATTAATTAAAAATTTTAATAATTATATTATTGTTTCACTTGAATGAATGGAGATATTAAAATGAATTATCAAAACAAAAGGGGGTCCGTAAACGGGGCAACCGTCCCGCCCGACCTTAAAAGGGTAACGAATGGGTACGAGGAGGGAAACTGCTCCACGGGAGGGGAAGCCCTCCCCATTACCATCCTTAGGCACTATTGATATTAGATTGCATCTTTCTTAAAAATAAAGAATTTATAATTTCAAAAACAAGTTAACTCCATTCTACATTTTTTACGATCATAAAGTAATAAGAGAAAATGAAAGGAAAAAATAAAAAAAATAAAAGGACAAGAAGCTAGCAAAATGACTTAGTGCATGTTCGGTAGTAATTATGAGAATTAATTTTTTTATCCTTAGAAAGAAAAAGTGGGTCCCATCTGTGAGTGAAGAAGTCAAAAATGACGGCTGACCATATTAAATAACGATAAAAAAATTGATTGTTTGGATCGAAAAATTAGAACCAAACGGGGGTTTAATGTTCTACTAGAAAAAGTTAAACAGGTAATTGATGCAATACCGCTAACATTTGCCTATTTTATGGAATACCTCCTAATATATATTTTTTCTTTTTTTGTGGAAATTACACCAGGTATCAACTTTTGGCTTTTCATTTACAAAAACGTCAATTTTTTAAAGTCTTTACAAAATTGTCAATTTATGACATTTTTGCCCCTTTAGATAATTCAAATACTCTTCATATCTTTCATTAAATATAGATTTGATTAGATGAAAAAATAGTACAAAATTTTTTAAAACATCACATCTCTCATCTCACTACTCAATTGTTGACAATTTATCTTCTAATTAATGAAAAAATTGATGGAGATTTTCATTTTCCTCTCCAACCGACTCTAGCTCTCCTTTCTTCTAACTTCTTGTTTCTCTGCTCTATCCGGACCGATGACGACGATGGCCACTCCCTTAGATAGTTAGGCTACTTTTCTTTCCTTTACTCTTCACTCATTCACAAATCAAAACTTGCCGGCCCTTTTTTCAACCCGAACCGTACTACTACTATGTCATGTTCGCCATCTGTGCGATAGTGTCTTACTCGCACCTCCGGCCAACTACCTACTCCCAATAAGGGAGAAGTGAAGATTGTTTGTCTAGCTCTTCAACTTTCTTTAAATCTACAGAATCGAAAGGAAAAGGCAAAAATGGTGACGTCCAAATTGGGTTTTCTTTTCATGTGTGATATTTTAGCTTTTTACACAATTGATTTTAGGTATGTGGTATGTTTGCATGTGCATAATTTTGTTTTTCAAATTTTGATTTGTTTCTGGATTTTTAGATGTGCACATTTTGCGATATATGATGGACATGGAGGTTGGTTAGCTGTAAAGTACATCGAGAAGCATCTTCACGTTAATGTTCTTTCAATGGGCTTATCATGTGAGCTGGTCTATTTGTTTGAGAATTTAGTGTTGTAATTATTGCTTGAACTTTTATTTTAGAAAACTGCTATATTTTACATTCCGTTTTCTAATTGTCTTTTCATGGTTTGGCGTTTGATGAAAATTTTCAGTTGGATGTTAAGTGTTCAAAAAATGCAGTTTGATGTAATTGCCCTAACGTTATAATTCGAGTAGTGTATTTTATGTACTCCGGTCCAACTAGCGAGAATGACAGAGACAATCTGTCGAGAACGACATATGAACTGTCGGCCTGTAATATAGTATGTTGTAAATGGATTCGTATTTTGCTTGTAAAGTTTAACATGTGTTTCTCTGTCTGCGAACGAAGCAGGAATGGTAGTGACGATGTAAGTCGATAATTTGATGGAGAACACCGCAGGTTGAGCAAATGTTACGAAATGGTATTTATCATGTGCTGTCAATTGAGTCTACTATTTACAATGTTGCAAATTAGAATTTATTTTGTGGGGATTGAAAAAATATTTTTAAGTGGACAAGAAAAAGAAACAAGGTTTTGTTTCCTCCATTCAAGTATATTTTGAACTAACGTAGAATTGGGGTTAATTGTACTATATCAAAGATATTGTGATATAAACTTTTCCTCATGTTTATTCTTCTTCATTTCTTCTGCAGTTTACCATTTACGTTAACCTGATCTTTAATGCTATGCACGTTTTCGTTAACTTTCGAGAATGAATAAAACATCTGTCGGAACCGACAGTTGAACATGTCGAGATGTTGTGCAATTGAAAAATGGAAATTGGTGCATTTTATAAGTTTCTCGCTTTCGAAAAATGAGAGAATTGGTACATTTTATAAGTTTCTTGCTTTGAGAAAAATGAAAATTATAGAGATTATAAGTTTCTCATTTTTTGCAAATTACAAGTCTGACCAATACAAGTACACTTAGATATTCAAGGTATCACACCAATTGTCTATTAAATTAAATTTGAGATATGATGAAAATAAGGTGGTAGTTGGAAACTAATTGACCTTAATTAACCATTCTCTTTGCCCAATTATAAAAACCAGTGCAAGACTTCATATTCATAAATCACCCCTTGAAAGACTAGAGATGCTGTTGTAAGACTCTCATATTGAAACAGTTAGTTGATAAGAGATAATGGGTTCATCCACCTCCAGCAACGAACCATTCAACCCAATATGCATCCACCGATACTGGGTTCATCTGCTGAATTTCCCATCGTTTTATTCTCGAACGACGAGGAGGTAAGCGTTGAGTACCATGAATTTCAAATTATTACTCATACCTGAAATGTTGGGATTGCAACGATAAGAATTCAGAATCAATATGTTGGCATTTAATAACATGAAAGTGGCACTGCATAATACGTAAATTCGTACAATAGCAAAAGGTCAAATTAAGGGTTTCAATCGTTTTGAAGTGTCCAAATTGATAGTAAAACTGTATATCCCGATAGTTTGTAAATGTCGGGTTCGATATTTCAAACATCTATCCTGACAGTTTGTAAATGTCAAATTCGACAATTAAACTGTCGAAAATGTCAGGAAGCAGACAGCAGTGGGTGATACTCAGGCTTCTTCAGCACAGCACATTAAGTGTTGTCATTACAATTGAGCTACCAAATGATAAAATGAAAAAGTCAGACTGGTCTTGTCATTAAAGAGACATTTAATGAAAACAATGTTTGGTTTGATTGGAAGAAATTATTAAAAACCTTATGGCGATAATAACATTTTGTGAAGGACTCCAAAACCAAAAAATCAATACATAATAGATTCAAAAATTTCAAATAAATATGCCCATATTGCATCTAACATTTACAAAACAAAAAAATTATAAGAGTAAAGTATAAATAATTTGCAATTACTAACCTCTCAAAATGGATGAAAAATGTAACAAAAATGTCTTCTTGATCAATGAAAATGAAAAAGATAGAGAAAAGTTAGGGTTTGTAATTTATGTTTCATTTTTAAATTTCTTTTACCCTTTTTTATTAACAAAAATTCATATTAATCAATAAAATACACATTTATCCATGTTTTGTATATAAAAATTAAATCATCACATCAAATCAATGATTTTCCTTCAAATCAAATGTTAAATGCTATTAAAAGTGTCATTAAGGATAATTTGAACTCTTCATCATAAAAAGTGACATTTTTGCTCACATTAAGTAAAAATGACAAATTTTTTAAACTTTCATTTTTCGTGACATTTTTGTAAATTTCCATTTTTTTGTGGGTGTAAAACCCCATAAATCTCCCAAAACTTATGGAATGCCCACGTCATCTGTATTCGTTAGTTTGCCCATTAAAAAAAGATAAGAGGGCCATGATGAATGAAAATTCAAGAAGCATTTCTTTTACTTCAAATCCAAACACTCGTATAAGCCGTCAAGGGTAAATAGCAAAAAACGTTCTTACTTTTCAATTTTATTGTATAAAACGTTCATACCTTTTATTTTTTCCATTTTCACCCCTATTTCCGCCTTTCATTGTACAGAAGGTCATTTTCAACCATTTTTGACGATTTTTACCCTTCTATTTAAATAAAATAGAAGGAAAATAAAAAAAATAAGCAACTAATTGCCAATAAATTACAAATCAATCATAATAAAAACATCCAACCACTTCCACCCCAGTTCCACCCACCATGATTCTGTAATTGTAAGTTTCCAATTTTACATTTTCCAT